GTAGTCGTCGTGGTGGTTGTGGTGGTAGTTGTTGTTGTTGTTGGCTCCAACGCCCTTATAGTTGTAGTCGCGGTTGTTGTAAGAGTTGTAGAAGCAGCAGCAGTAGCTGTAGCTGTAGCAGCAGCAGAAGTAGTAGTAGTCGTCGTCGTCGTGGTGACAGCGGCCGTGGCAGCAGTGGCAGTGGCAATAGCAGTAGTGCTAGTGGAGCAGCAGCAGCAGCAGCAGTAGCAGTGGGAGTACAAGTAGGAGTGCGCAAGAGTAAGACTCCTTGCACTTCTGGAGCTGGACCAGGCCGCAATTTCTGGAGCGAATGCCCCCGCCATTTAAGGATGCATTGGAACGCAAGACCTGCAGCGGCTTCCAAGATTCCCAGAACAGGGTTCATGAAGGGCCGGATGTCTATGGCAGCTGCTGGAATTTCGGCACTGACTTGCTGAGGGGAACCAACCTCAAAAGGTTGAAGGGAAGGAATGCCATTCTCTCATCTCTCATGACGGACGGCTCCACCGCACGCGACTCACAGAACCGCCTGACGTCTGTAACAACAGACAGTTGCAATCGGCGTCAACAGCACAGAGACTGCTCGGCAGCCCAAACTCTAATCTCTAAACTGCAAAGCAAGCTGCTCAAGTCCGCACACCTGTGGAATACCCCGACGCCTCAGCCAGATGCGAATCGAACGAAACGGGTCAACATCCGGCGACGGGCGTCTAGAGTGAGTTTCGGTAAGTGTTCACGAGACCGGAAGCATGAACACTCTTGCAAGGAGTATGAAGACAGGCGAAAGGGGATGACGAGAAGGAGTAAGTGCTCCGATCTGCTGCGGCTGCTGCTGGTTGTATTTACTGCTTCCCTTGCTTTTGCACTTGATGTCTTGCCGTTGCCAGTTGCCGTTGCTGCTATTTTGCTTGTTACTTCCTGCAACTTCTAAGGTCAGGCTTCCAACGGGTTTCTAAGGGGATGGAACTTGAACCTCCATCGTGGCCGCACTCCTTTGATCAAAGCCATTCGGAGGCTGCTGCCGAGCTGCTGCCACCATGCTCGGCGCCCGGGCAAAGCTGATGGACTGCCTTGGCTGTTTGGCCGTCCCGGTCCAGCAAGAGCCGAACGGCCAAACTCTCCTGAAATGTAGAGCTGAACGGCTAAACTCACGGACAGGCACAGACAGACAAACAGACAGGCAGGCAGGCAGACAGGCAGGCAGGAAGGCAACAGAAATGTGACGATCATGAAGAAGGAGATGATGATGATGATGATGATGATGATGATTGGTAGGCGCGCCGCAGGCTGTGGTGGTAGCGCTGGTGGCGCTGGTTGGGAGGGCTGTAGTTGCTGTCATTGTTGTGATGGTTGTGATGGTTTCGATGGTGATGCAGATAACTGCGACCCTAAGGACGGCGAGGATGAAGATGGCGATGGTGAGGATGACCGTGCTGGTGCCGGCGGCGGTGGCATGGTGATTGTGGTCATCAGGGTGACGACGGTGCTGGTGATGGTGATGAGGATGGCGGCGATGACGAGTGATATGTTTGACACTGTAATCGCTGATGTTTGAGCAATACTCCATACTGTGACTGGGCGTTTCTTTTCATTTCCAGGCTAGCGTTCTCCTTCTGCTACTTCCATTCCCAATCTTCCCATACATGTTTTTGTTTCCGCACACCTGAGCTCGCCACCACTGAGCCCACCTCCCCTGAAAGGAGCCGTGCCCTTTTCTAACCTGAAACTCCTGGAATCCCAAATAAAATCCACAGCCCTGAAACCCCGAAGACCCCAAAAAACCCGACAGCGTCCGAGCAGCGGAGGCCCCGGTGAGAAGGCCCGGGGGGAGGCCCGCGGAGAGGCCAGGTCTGGCATCCAAGCCTTCTGGGAACAAATCTCGGGCTTCGACTCTCACACTCAGGGTTTTTTTTTTTGTTGAGGGCCTTTTTCCGTCTGCTAGTGTCTAACACTCAGGGTTTTTTTCCCTCAGGGTTTAGGCTTTAGGGTTTTTTCCCTCCCAGGCTTTGGGGTTTTAGGGTTTACGCTCTCACCCTTAAGGGTCTAGGGTTTACGGCTCGAAGCGACTCCCTGGCGTTTGGGTTCAAGGTGCCTGTTTCCCCCTTTGAAACCGATCGGATGTTCACGACTCTAGCTAGGCGTTTGAGGATTTCACTGTGATCACGAAGGCAGTCCATTCCCGTTGTGTTGCTATCGCATGTGCAAGTACATTCCAGGGCTGATTTGGGGCAGTTTCTCTAGGGGTGCATGGACTTCGGGCTGAGATTGCGCTGGACACGCCCTCACCGCTCCAATGACGCCACTGGTAGCCCACTATCACCCAAGTCTCATCCACATGGTGGCCATGGAGGTATCGAATTTTCGTCGGCCGCTGCGAAGCGATGCCGTGGAGGCTCTAGGGTCTTCCTGAGTCGGCGCCTTGGCGACGGGAACATAAGCAACGTGCATTCGTCGGCAAATTGCAAAACTAGGCCACAGTGTGCCTGGATGCCAACGGTCTGGCAACGATACTCCGGCCCTTGAAGGACGGCCTATTCTGATTCAAAAAAGAAAGGAAACGTAGCTCGGAATAGCAGGATTCCGGTCCAGGGAACTTCAGGAACAGCTGGATCAGAAAACATTATGCAAGGCAGAGTCGGTTCATGACGGCCTGTTAACTCCTCATAGCTGCTTAGCTGGTGCCAGAAGTATGGAACTCCAAGACAGTGCTCTGCCCAGCTTGCGACAACTTCGGTCAAAACATGGAGTAGAAACTCTATCGGAGACAGTAACACTGCCCGAAACATCCAAGCTATGCCTCACATGGCCACAATTCGGACAGGCTTGGGTCCACCCGGGATATATGTGGACTTCATGTACTCCAACTCCTGTCGCCGGACTTTCTCTGCGATCTCCATCCTACTCGGGGCTTGCGAAAGCCTCACCTTCGTCATCTGCTTTTCCTGAAGCACCGCACGGGGCACCGGGGGATCCGTCACGAAGTCCTGTGCCGGGCCCGCCCTTGAGCTTGAGCTTGCGCCAGCCTGGGCGGCCCCAAGCAACAAGGCACAGAAAGCACAGGAGAAGAGGAGCCCCAAGGCGGGGGAAGGCAGCTCCTGGAGTTTGCGGAGCTTCGATGCTGGTGCTGCTGCCCTTGCCGGTCTGCTGCGCAGGGCCTGGCGGGCCTGTGGCTCGGGTGTGGGGACAAAAGCGAGGACGGAGAAGATGGTCATAAGTGCCATAGCCACAGCCACTGCTCGCGCCATGATTCGAACAGCCAGAGGCTCGGGAGGAGTGCAGATGGTGCAGATGACCCAAGGAGCCAAAATTGCTCGAGCCGGTGGTGCATCAAGCAAGCAAAGCTGCGCTGTGAGGAAGGATCCCGAACTGCTTGCCGCCACGATTACAATACTGACTCTCTACGCCAAAACGAGCACGAGCCAAGCCCAGAATGTCAGACCATGGATTTCAAGTTCCCATCCCGGCTCGAAGAGCCCAAAGAGCCCAAGCAGTTTCTGAGCCAAGATACGAAGCCGCCCATGGGCGGTGCTTGGATGACCCGCGTCGGCGAGGCTGTTCGCACAGACGCAGCGGCCTGGGGCGAAGGAGGGGAGAGGCTGAGAGCTGCCTGAGGCGGCTCACAGCGTCAAAGCGACGAGTCTCCCGTCTCAAGGTCAGGGAGTGCGAGCAAAGGGCTGACTCTCTGGACGAATGTGTACATACAACTTATGACATGCGTATGTGTGTATGTACACATATGTGTATCTACATGTGGCGGTCATGCGTGCAAAGTTCGCTGTGCACTGATTTGTAAGTATCTGTTTAGTTCCTCGATAGTCTCGCAGCTGATGTGGTTTATGAGTTTGTGCATCTACGTGCTGGCGTCGACGAAATAGACATGGCCACAACAGCCTTTACAAACAACGAACAAACAATGACCTCCAAAATGACGCACAAGGAACACACAAACAAAATGTGAACAGCACCAACTTAACCATTGCATCCTCAAGCAAAAACCCCATACAATGGGCATGGAAACACAAACCACCCCAAAAAGGCAACAAGCATGAAGCAACAACACACAATAACAACAGCGCAATCATGCGGCTGGTGGCCAATAACACACAGCAGCATTAGTCTAGCAACAGTAGACACACAAAGTATTCAAAAGTTGCCCATGCCGAAGCCAACATTGACCTCATTAAATGTGGGAGAACACCTTAGCACAAGGTGAGACAAGACGGTGAACAACACATGTTGAGATCGCAACCAACAGCCAGAATAACATTATGCTATGCTTGGACGCCCTGGTCTCAAGCCACAAAAGCTATCACGATAGAGCACCGGTCAGGAAACATTGCACGACCTGGTGACGTAATAGCAGGCTGCAGGTTGCACTATGCAAGAGAGATATATATAAATGTATCCTTTCACAGAAAAACTGCCGTGACTGCTTCGTACCCGTACATGCGAGGAAACCTAACGAACATGGACTAGTGAGGCACGCATCCAGGTTTGTCAAACAATGTCACTGCACAGCTGCTGTTGCATATAGCTGTCTCGCCGCAGATTGAACATGCCTAAATACTACAAAGAGCTGATTATGGAAGTTAAATGCACGCACGCCCCGCAACAGAGGTTACGCGAGCACAAAAGAGACATACGCCTCTACCGCAGTAAGCAGGGTACGATGTAGTGCAAGGCAACCAACAAACCAACACAACAGCCAGAGAGGACACAATCTGGAAAGCCGTCGGCCTACACTGGCCTACACATGTTGAGTCAATCCACGAGGAATATCAAACTCATTACCTGACCGCTGCGAAAGTAGACGGGGAACATGCTGGTGTCTAACCGAACTTCGGGTCTCAAAAACGCCCTTGATGCGACCCTCCCTAAACCCTAAACCCTAAACCCTGTACTTTAAATCGAAGGAGTCTCGTTCATTCTAAACCCTCGGCCAGGCGACGAAAGCAGGCATTCGTGGTGAGATGGACACCGGTGTCCAACTAAAGCCTCGCAGGGACGAGGCAGACATGCTTACACCCCATGATGGGGGGGGCGAATTATATAAGGATCCACCTTTTTTGCGTAAATCACGGTTATTTCGGCACAATAGCCAAAGCATGCCACCCCGGCAAAGTAGACCAAGGCCTGTTGCAAACTAAGGTTTCCGCCTTAGTTTTCCTCGTCTCGACAGGCTTTGATCTATCGGCAGCGGCTATCGACCGTCCCTCGCACGTCCATGTGCCACCACATCATGAACACCCCCACTTGGAAACAAGAAGGACAGAGATAACTGAGCAGCCACAGCCGCCACCACAATAGCTAGCAGCAGCAGAGAAGACGAGCCGTGACATGCCGTGACAAAGAGCATTGGCGAAGAAGGTCAAGGTCAAGAAGGGGAACAACACACAAAGACAAACAGCAGAGGATGCCCTACCCTGAGTGACCAGCAGCAGACATCTGGGGAAAAACATGCGCAGTAGAACAGCAGCAGCAAACCAAGACTCTTTGGACCTGCTGAGGTCCCTCTGATCGCCGGGCTGGCAGCGCGATTCATGTCCACCTGAGTCAAAGGTCAGCTCCGAGGCTCAGGCCCCGAATGGATGAGTAGGGCTTTGCAGGGTTTAGGCGTTTAGGGTGCTTTTGTGCCCCCCACCTGTAGGGATCCCCCTATTGATGGCATATGGTTTTTAAGGGTTTTGAGGATTTAGGGCTTGGGGCCCTGAAGGTGCGAAAGGGTGACTCTGACTTCGGGGCGTCCGACCGACACGTGAAATGATGCAGTCGAAGACTTCGTCGTGACTCTCTTCAAACATATGCAACATATACAGGCTTTGATAAGATGCTCACAGAATGGCCACAAGCCATATGTTCCACGGCTCCTCCAAGTCTCGGTGTGGATGAATAAAGGATAAAGGAGTCTAGCACACTTCGGGGCCTCAGCCATGGTTAGAAACCATGCTCGAAACCTGCAGGTTGTCGGCAAGAACCATACGTTGGTTTGCAGGCTTCGGAAGCTGCTCTCAACACACACAACCCCGATGACATTGTCCGGCCTGCCTCGCTGACGAGAGCTCGAGCTGACACAAGGGGACTCAGGAGACTCTTACGGGACTCTCTTGCCGCTGGAGGCGCTGGCGAAGGCGATCTCGACACGATCACCTGGGCTGACGCACGTGGTGGGATGCAGGGACATCTGACGACCGGCAAAAAAAGCAAGCAACCAGGGGGATCTGCCAATTCGAAGTCCGGGATTATCCAGCATCAGACACATGTTCCAAACCCCCAAACCGCATGCCAACGTAGAATTCCCGCTTGATGTTGCAAGATCTGAACTAGGTGTATCTACTGACGGGACTAAGCTTCCAGCGTGCTTGAGTTACTAAAGGAACGACAGCAACTCCAGCACGATATCATGCCTAGAAGCAGCAAGGTGGGTAACACATCCTTATGCAAGCTTACATGACACCCCCTCCGGAACCCCAAAACTGAAACCATGAGCCGAACCCGACACCCAGGAACCCCAAAAAGCCCTTCCACCCGAAGCCCTCTCGACTTCTTATTATTGTTATTGCTATTTTTTGTTCTTAGTCTTATGTATTCTTGCTATTATTGCTATTATTATTATTAGTAGTAGTAGTAGTAGTCCTGAAAGCCTAGAGCCCCTTTCCCACCCTCCTCGTGTCCTTCGCTTCTCCGGCAAAGTGGCGTGGCGTGCCGGGCTCAAGGCCCTTCTCCCATCCGCGGCCACGAAGGAGATGCCGCCAGGGGGCCCCGGCGAGGCAACCTGAAAAAGGGGCCATGCTCAGAAAACTTGTTCGGTCGGGTTTTTGTTATACATATACATATACATATACATATACATATTCATATGCATATTCATATACGTATACGTAGACGTAGACGTACACGTACACGTACACATACATACACATACACACACACACACATACACACATACACACATACACGCATACACACATACACGCATACACGCATACACACATACACGCATACACACATACACACATACACAAACATATACATACATACATACATACATACATACATACATACATACAGACGGTAGATATCAAAAAGGACTCCAATTACAGTAAGGGATTCAGGCTTCTGTGGTAAGTTTGGGAGCAAGTTGTGCAAGACTCTCACACTAGCGTAGGCAAGGCTTCCCAGCAGCTGGCTGCCCCTTTTTTGCATCCGGGCTTGGGAAGTCGCCCGGGGAAACCAGCCCCTTTTCGCAGGAGGCTTCTCTCGCCCGGAACTGCCCCTAATTCCCAAACCGTTGCTCTGTATGCTCTGTTTTATCATCGGGTGCGGCTCCGTCACAAACCCGACGAAGAGCAGGCTGGAGGCACCAACAGGAGATGAAGCCATGTAGGAGGGTTCCGGGTTGCTTCCCCTCGGGTTTAGAGGCTTTGGGTTTGTAGTTTATGCTCTCGCACCTCGTTCTGGCAGTTTCTGGACTAGCAGTTGCAAGCATCTCCTGCGATGACGGCCGCTCCAGCAAGCGACTCTGTTGGCCGCAATATGTGATATTATTATATATTATATATCACTATACATTATTATATATTGTATATTATTATATAGTATATAGTAGTTTATATTATGGTCACGAGCATGAGGCAAATGCCCACCTGTATCTATCTGCCGCTTCTCATAGTTTCGAATCACCGATGCAAGTTCTGAGTCCCAGAATCGCCATAGAGTTAACGGAAACAAGATGCGACACCATTAAAATTCCTTTTCCAGGTTCCGGAAACTTTGTGAATCCTCCAGGTTTGAAGCGGCATTGTTCTGCGACAACAAAACTGGCCTTCCGTGCCCGCAGCCGAGGATCGAATCAAAACGAAAACTCGGCTGTGGGGGCCCCTGAAGCTAATACCAATCTGAAGTAGGGCCTACACCCCCACTTCGTCGGAATCCTCCGTGTGGGACCCCTCAGATTCTTCGGACTGTGGCTTCTCAGCCATACTCATGTACTCGAAGAGCTCGACACCCTTGGGCGGCTTGCTCTGCCTGGCAAGCGGAGTTGGCACCATAGCATGTGCCAGGGCATCCCAGAGCTTGAGGACCGTGGCAATGAGCATGCAAGCAAACCCTGGGCCCATGCTCCACTTGTACTCGATGTCGCCCACCTTGTCGCGCACAAGCCGGGGAAACTTCCTCCAGCAGGAGTAGCTGAAAGAGGTCAAGGAAGTGAGGCCGCTGAAGGTGCCCCAGCAGGATGTGATCGCTCCCATCGTCGCCTGGCAGTTGACGTCGCCGAAGCGGGTAGAGCGCTGAAGATCTGTTGTCATCTGCGGTATCTGCGTGATAATTCCCATGATGGCGAAGCTGACGGTGTTGCCCGCAGACTTCTCACAACCTTCGCACATCTCGGTGTCAGCGTAGACCGTTTCATTAGTGGCCGCGGCAACGAGGTCTGCCAATTTCGCGTTGTGGTAGACAATGTTGCCAGCACAAGACTTGGTGTTTCCGAAGGCTACAACTCGTTGATAAAGGCCCGGGCTTACCTCCTTCATCAACTCCGCATTTTCGCGGAACCATTTGTTGCAGCCATCGGTGTACTCAGACATCCCGCAGTCCACTTCATCCACCCGGCCACCGAGTCCAACCCAGCTCTTTGCACCCAGATACGGCCCGCCATACCCAAATGTGCCGGTGGCCCAGGCAGTGGCCTTCAACACCTGGGCGTTGTGGGACAACGCCAGCACTGCGTAGATATTCAACAGCCAGGCGATGAAAGAGATCCAGAAGGACGTGACCATGAGCCCACGCCGATGAGCTCTGCCGAAGGCGATGCCCGTGGCACCGCAGTGTCGGCAGCATGCATTCGTCTCAAGGCAGCCACGCAGCTTCATGAAGACCCCAGCCAATGGCAAGGTGTACTCATTCGAGAAGTGGCGGAGGATTCCCTTCTCCGGACTCTGGGTCGGGGCACAGAAGCCACCGCAAATGGGGATGTTGTAGATGCACGTCAGGATGCGCTCCATGGCCAGAGGATCACGGCGAGAGCCCTAAACTTGAAACAGAAGCTCGAAGCATCCCAGATGAAGTTGATGCAGATCACAGAGCACATGAAACTGTTCCTAAGAGTACCGATGCTGTCTTGCCAGCTGCAACGATAAAATGCAGCCCTTGCTGTCTTAAGCCAAAATGGACAAAGGAGAGTTCCGGAAAGGTGCCGGGCCCGCCGCTCAGCAGGGATTCTTACCGTGGAGATCCGAACATTTAGAGTCTATCTTTCCCTTCCGTGCTTGAACGGAATCCTTGCCTCGCTTCACTCCTTTCGAGTTTGTAGCTCAGCTTTTGGCAGAAGATCGTCGATCTGGTGTCGCGCCGCTTGGAGCTCTAGCGCCGAGACTTTTCAATTATCATCCTACCGAGGCTACACCTGCAATCACTCCTCCCATGCCCTTGCCATCGATGCAGAAACCATAAAGATGAGCAGAACCGCCGAAACAGCGAGAAACACTGACCAAACTGATAAAGAACCACGGCGTAGCAGCACCAATGATAATACTGACAACTGTCGTAAGACGAAAAAGTTGCTTGAAGCCAGAGACCAAGAGAACTGGAGCCAGCTGATCACATAAAACAAACTGAAGCCTGAACCCTTTCCCCTAAGCTGACATTGGAGACTCCAACTGCCAAGTCACTCTTGGCATGGCCATGGATGCCACAGGCACAGGTGAAGCCGCCCGGGCAGGGCCCTGGCGAAGACGAGTGGATAAGTTTTACAGGGCTTCGGGAGTGTTGAGGATACTTCGGACAGCCTTCGTCTTGGGTGAGGTTCAGCGTAGGCAGGATTTCGGGTCAGTACAGGAGCAGGAACAGCAACCAAAAGACAAGGACAAGCTATCGCAAATTGGCAAAAGCTAATGCCACATATCCTCTCCACTATGTCACTATGGCTGCTATGTCTGGTTGGTGCTATTCTGGTAGTCTTCTTGTAATGTGTTTCTTGCGGCTCGCACTGAACTTTAATCAACTGCACATGGCACCCTCGAGCCTTTGAGCCGTAGCTATTCGGCTCAGGGTTTAAAGTTTAGGGCTGCGAAAACGTCAGGGACGGGGGTGTTGGGACACACGGTGAGACAGGAGACTGGTGTCGACATACGGAGAGAGTGGCTTACAGGCATGGGAGGAGCGCCCACACCTGCTTGTAGTGTTCTGTCCTATGCTCGAAGGCGATTACAAGCTGCACCCCCAAACGGCAAATCACTGATACATCTGTTGACAAGGACATGCCAGGACCATAAAGCAAGTATCTCCACCCATACCTGTTGAAGCTCCTCTTCTGGAAAGGTGGGCACCCTCTTGAGCCTGGAAGTCCGAAGTGCCGCTGCCCATTCTCGGCGGTGCACCCTCCTGGGGGCTTTTTGGTGCTTTGGGTATCGGGTCTCGGCTGACCGCATGAGTTTAGGCTTAAGCCGTTGAGATCTTGGCTTTCAGATCACAACTCGGACAACTGGCGCTGAGCAGCCGACTGCTCCAAGGCCAACTGAAACCGATGGCACGAAAGAAGACTGTGAGTCAACTACATGAGCACCACCACAACTCTTTTCACCTCCCACAGGCCATAGGCCATACTGCCAGTCCTGGTTTGGTAGGTTACAGGTGGTGCTTGTGGTGGCAATGGTGGTAGTAGAGCTAGCATTGGCACTCGCACCAGTGCTATCACTAGCCGTCACAGAGGCACTGGCGTTACCGTCGCCGTAGGAGGAGGACGAGCAGCAGCAGCAGCAGCAGCAGCAGCAGCCGTGGCAGTAGCTGCAGCAGTAACAGTAGCAGTAGAAGTAGCAGTAGCAGTAGCAACAGCAGTTGCAGTAGCAGTAGCAGTATCAGCAGCGGCAGCAGCAGCAGCAGCATAGCAGCAGCAGCAGCAGTAGCAGCAGCAGTGGCAGTAGCAGTAGCACTAGCACTAGCAGCAGCCGTCTACTACCGTCTACTACTACTACTACTGCTGCTGCTGCTGCTGCTGCTACTACTGCTACTACTACTACTACTACTACTACTGCTACTCACTTGTCGTGCGTTTGTCTTGCGTGTGCTGCGGAGCTCTGCCCAGGTCCAGCGGTGCATGGATGCTGCTCCAGCGCTGAACAGCTCTGCCACAAGTCAGTCAATAGCTGGTTTTATTGCGGCTCTGCTTTTAGCGCGGGTTTGAGAACTTCTCTGTGTGCACTGTCCGCTTGGCCATTCGTGGCGGGACAGATGCATCGGCCGCTGCGGGTATGTCGGACGCCTGGCTGCAGCTTTCAAATTTTGGGTCGTAGGCATAGGCACTGCTGCTCTTTATGCAATACTGCGGATCGGTCGCTACATGGGGAAAGATGCCGGCAAGTTCAGCTTTTGCTTGCTGGAGCAGCGCCAGACACCTTTGCACGGCGATGCCAGTCAGAGCAGTGTGGCCGCGAGGCCAACTGGGGATATCGTTCCTGCTGCTCGGTCTGCTCGCGAACCAATGGAAGGCGACACAGCGCGCGCTGCAGAGTTTTTACCGCTGCTTCGTCGAGACCTGAGGAACACCGCGCTACCACTGGCAGTACGAACATGGCTGTAGCTGGGGCGGCTCGCAGCCTCTCCAGCTCAGCCATTACAGGCAGTGGCTTGACAGTTCGCTCCCGAGTTCGACAGCGGTACAGCGAAACGGACATGTCGCAAGTTGTGGTGGATCTGGTGTCAGACGAGGAAGGGGTCGATGATGACCCTAGAATCGCAGGTGCAGGTGCAGCATCCAGTAGCAGCGACGTGGTAGGTGCTGCAGCTGAGATCTTTTCTGCAAGCGGGGAGGAGGAACAGTCGGCGGACATGGTGTCTGGGACAGTTGAGCTCAACGAGCTTGATTAGTCCACAATCTTTTCTAGTTGTATAGTTGAAGTGTTCATGGGATGTACCACTGTGTACAGCGGCCCTGAGCCGCCGGACTTAATGTCTGT